GAGATAGCAAAGGTGCAGAAGAGTCGACAATTCGGTTCTCATGGCACTTCCAAAAGGCAGTTCAAAGTGGAAGTAGAAGAGCTGAAAAGGCGAACCAAATGCAATCGCTGTGGCAAAGTAGGCCACTGGGCCAGAGAGTGCAGGCAGCCACCAAGTGCGAAAGAAGCTTCTTCTTCGAGCACTCCTCCCATGGAAGCCAACTATGTTGAGAGCTGAGAGCCAACCACTGAGGCTGGATATGGAGTGGAGCCAACCTTTGTGGGACACGTGATGACCACGGTGTTTAGCGCTGGCCTGATTTCCTCACCGGGCTTTGGAGTACTGGACAGTGGGTGCGGACGCACCCTGATCGGAGAAGAAACTCTCAAACAGCTTGAACCCATGATCAAGGCTCGAGGATTTGGTTCTGTGCAGTACTATGAGTCTGAGAATGTGTTCAGGTTCGGAAATGGAGCAACGGAAGTGGCAAAACGTGCATGCCGCTTACCTGTCGGGATCGCAAACAAGTTTGGCTTGATTGACGCAGCCATTATTGCGGGCTCAGCTCCTCTTTTGCTTGGACGACCAACGTTGGAAAAGATGGCTGTGAAACTGGATTTCGCTCAAGGACAGATGGAGCTTCTCGGCTGCACGACTGATCTCAAGACCAATGAGGCTGGTCAGCTGCTGGTGGATGTCCTAGCATATCCACCGAGAGAAACAGCTACCCCGAAGCCTCGCGGTAATCAACACGACAGAGACACAGCGCGTTCCACAAAGGACGACCAGCAGAAGGTTGAACAGAAGGCGCAGGGCTCAAGTCAAAAACAGAAGACAAAAATCACACTGAAAAAGAAAGAGTGTAGATGTTTGCTTGCTCAGATGAAACGTGTTTCCCAGACCGAAGATGCTGGTATCATGGTTGCTGAGTTATTTTCTCCTCCTCGTTTTTCCACTGAGGCTGTTCGGCAGGGGGGGAAAAGGGATAGCATATGATATTAAGCAGGGGTGGGACCTTTCCAAATCAAATGTGAAGTCGCAAGTGGATGCGGAACTCGATCGCGTCCGCCCTCGACTTTTGGTGGCGTGTCCACCATGCACGCATCGAGGCGGGTGGGAGCATCTGAATAGGACCAAGCGGTCTCCTTTCGAGACAGCCTTGCTAATTCGAGCATCTAGAGATCAGGTTCGCTTTGCTCTCCAACAGATTCGCAAGCAGATAAGTCGAGGTGGTGATTTTATCTTTGAGCATCCGTGGGGTTCCGAAGTGTGGGACGATGGGGACATGATCACTCTTCGTAGGAAGTATGGAGTCCGCAGAGTTGACATGTGCGCCTACGGGTTGAAGTGTCCTGACACGGGTATCCCCATCAGAAAAGCCACGGGGATCCTTTCATCCATCAAGGAGTCCACTCATTTCCATCAGTGTCAGGGGTGTGAGAAACATCGTTTGGTTGAAGGAAAACTGAACTCAGGACAAAACGTGAGCGACTTTGCAGCAGAGTACACCCCATCTTTCGTTAAAGCCATGTTAAAAGCCTGCCAAGCACAACAACATGTGAGTGTGGTCGACTTTATCGACTTGGCTGAGTGCGAAGGTGCAGAGTGTCTCATTGGTGAGATCGAAGGAGACAGGGCCGGACCAGAGCAAGAAGACGCGGAGGTCATACATGCTGATCACACCCAAGGTACTCCCAGTGTGTTGCGAGCTGTTAGGAAATTGCATGTTAACCTCGGCCATCCGCACAACAGGGATTTGGTGCGTATCTTGCAGCATAGTAAGGCTTCTAAAGAAGCTCTGGAGGTAGCAAAGAACTTCACATGTACCGTGTGTAGTAACCATAAGCTTCCGCATGCATCCCTACCTGCTAAGACTAGTAGAATCATGGAGTTTAACGCGCGAGTTGGGATGGACGTCAAGTACCTCCCCGGCTGGAAACCCAATCAGAGAGTTCCGTGCATCAGCATTGTTGACTATGCATCGTCATTGCACATAATGGCACCCATTTTCCAGAAAGAAAACGCTGAGTTGTTGAAGGGTGTTCTGCGGGACTCCTGGATTGCATGGGCCGGGCCCCCAAAGGTTTTGGAATTGGACCCAAGCAGACCAAACCTGAGTGACGCTTTGGGAGAATACTGTGAGGGACTTGGTATAGATCTCCTATACACAGCTGCAGACTCACATTGGCAGCTGGGGAAAGTCGAGAGACATGGAGGTTGGTTCGAAAAGATATTTTCTCGGGTATGTGAAGAGCATCCACCCAAGAATGCCGAAGAGTTTGTTGACAACGTTCTTCAGACCCAAATAGCCAAAAACACCCTGATTACAGAAGCAGGAGCAAGCCCTTTTCAGATTGTTTTTGGACGCAATCCCCGCATCCCTCAAGATTTGTTGCAAGATGATCCACACTTACCCGCAGTTGACGCCACCGAGAGCGACTCGCCGTTCGATCGGGCACATCTCGTGCGGCAAGCGGCGCGACAAGCGGTGCTGGAATGCCAAGACCACAAGGCCTTGAAGGCGGCCATCCGAGCTCGCCCAAGACTCCGCCAGGACTTCTGCTCAGGTGACTGGGTTTACTACTGGAGATCACAAAAGTGGTCAGACGGGCAGTTGCTAAGGGGAGGTCGTTGGCATGGGGCTGGCATGATTTTGGGTAAGTTGGGGGTGAACTATATTGTTGCGCACAGACGAAGTTTGTTTCGCTGTTCACCAGAACATCTACGGCATGCAACCTCAGAAGAGAAAACAGTTGCAGATTTTGATGACAACGAATTGCTGGGAATCAAGAACTTGTTAGAAAAGGGACAATTTCCAAAAGGACAGTTTGTTGATTTGGTCAATACCACACTTCCGCCATCTCCAGAAATTTCTGACCGGGCAGAAGGCTGGCATTCCGCGGCACGATCCGCGGCCGATTTGTGGAGTGAAGCTGTCGTGAATGAGACCAAGACTCAAAAGGAAGACTACAATGCAGATGAGACAACACCAGAACATGGGCCGTATTCTCGATTGGGGGGAACGTCTTCCTGGACACCGTTAGGTCGTACAGAGGATTATGGTCCCATCAGACGGGTTCGACACACAGTCAAGTCACCCCCGGAATATCTCTTTCGTCCAATGGAGATGCAACAGGAAGATCTGTCAGAGTTGCTGCAAGAGGTTATTCCTTCGTTGCTAGAGACACCAGAGACCGAGAGCTTCAGTCCCAGAGGCACTAGTAGCAAGAGAGAGGCCAGTGCCGACATTGATGACGGACCGCGCACTCGCAGTCGAACTGAACGATATGAGGACGAGGCATTGTTGCGTTCATTTGTTTCTCCAGGAGAGGAGGTTCCAGTGCGAAGTGGCCAGAGTCATGTCGAAGCATTGATAGCAGGATTCTTGCAGAAGCGAGCAGCAAAAGAGATTCCGTCCACTGGCAACCCATCCGACATCCAAGAGAAGGTTGATGGATCCAAGATTACAGAATGGGAGACATTGTCAGGGAAACAAGCTGTTCGTGTGTGGACTGGACAGAAAGCCAAAGAGATCAAACAGCGTTTTGGACATCGGTTCATTGGCAGTCGTTTTGTTGTGATCAACAAGAAGGATGAGGATGGGGAGCGAGTCAAGAGTCGCTGGTGCCTACAAGGGCACTTGGATCCTGACTTCCAGGAGAAGATCCAGTCAGGGGCTTGCCACAGTCCCACACTTCACCCTTTGTCAAGATCATTGATTTTACAAATTCTAGTCAGCAAGCAATGGACGATGCAGCTAGGGGACATCAAGGGGGCTTTTCTGGAAGCAGGACCTTTGAACCCCAAATTTAGTCCTTTGTATGCGCATCAACCTCCAGGAGGGATCCCAGGACTCAGTCCGGATGATGTGATCGAGGTCACAGGCAACGTCTACGGGTCCAACGATGCCCCTTTCAACTGGTGGTTTAAGTTCGACGAGACTGCAAGAAAGATTGGTTGGGTTCGTTCTCAGTTTGACAACTGTTTATACTACCTTCCGGATCCGTTGAGTCAGGGAGCCATGTGTGGTGTGATGGGAGCCCATGTAGACGACACCATCACGGGGGGACACGGGGCAACCTACGATTCAGCAATTCAAGCGTTGAAGACTCATTTCCCGTACAGAAAATGGAGGATTGGCAATGGTGAATTTTGTGGGGTGCAATATAGCCAAGACATGCGAAGTTTTGAGATCACGTACCATCAAAAAAGAATATGCAGAACATCTTCGGGCCATTTCTCTCTCTAAAGAACGGTTGAAGGACAAAGAGTCTCTGGCAACTGACCGGGAGATCTCAGCCTTGAGGGCAATCAACGGAGCATGCAATTGGCTTAGTTCGCAGTCAAGACCAGATCTGTGCGTTCAGACCTCCTTTTCACAACAGAGCTTTCCTCAACCTAGAGTTCGGGATTTGTTGTTTGCAAACCAACTGGTGCATCGGGCTAAACAGTTTAGTCACACTGATGTTACAGTGAAGAGCATTCCATGGGAAGATTTGGCTATCTGTTTTCATTCAGATGCAGGTTTTGGTAATGCAAAGCAACACAAGACACAGGCAGGGTTCATTGCAGCTTTTGTGAGCAAAAGACTAGTACAGAATGAGGCAGCAAGCTGGTCTCCGTTTGCTTGGCGGTCATACAAATTGCCGAGAGTGGTGGCCTCGACACTAGCAGGGGAGGCACAGGCTTTCACGACAGCTAGTGCTACGGCTGAGTGGATGAGCTTGCTCATAGCAGAAGCAAAGCATGGCAGATTTGATCTTCGGACAACAGAGCAAGTGCAAACACAGCCACGAGTGTCAAATTTGAAATGCCGTGATGAGCTGGACCTAGTTCCTGTCGTGGGTGTCACAGATTGCAAGAGTTTATATGACCATATGATATCCATGTCATCAGTTAGTAAGTGCGAAGATAAAAGGATAGCAATAGACCTTGCAATACTCAAACAGTGCATGTCTCGAACAGGTCTCGTGGTTAGGTGGTGCCCAACACAACTCATGCTCGCAGACGCTCTAACAAAGGACCAGCAGGATCCGGCAGATCTCTTGCGGGCGGCACTGTCCGTGGGGGAATACCAGTTGAATCCTGAAGCCATGATCCTGGAGCTAAAAAAGAACCAACGTCAAGCACGAGTAGAAAGACGGGCGTTGCATGAAGCACGAGAAGCAGCACTAAGGAGAAGCAAGCCGAAACAGAAGGGTTCCTAATTCAGTAGGATGGGGTTTTTCTAGAGAATAGCAGACTGAGTGCATTTGGACGCCAGTTGAGTTTCTGTTTGCCAGATTTGTTTTGTGTGATGCAGGACTTCCTTTTTGTTTGTTTGGTTGCTTTTGTCGATAGTCACGTTTCGTCCTACTCTACATGTCCAGGCCGCTTGGATTGTTTCTCTGGTTTTGGGTGAGGGCTGGTGAGCACCCAGCGCACATTCTGGGGTACGAATGTGAGGGGAAACGCATTGTGGAAATGTGAGCATTTCGTAACACAATATATATAGATATTTTCTTTTGCAGATGCTTTTGCGTTACTCGATGTGATAACGAAATGTGTTTCAATGCATATAATTGAATCTGAGCAATCAAGTGCGAAGAGGGCACAGTTTTCTCGGTGTGATCAGACTCTCCGATTGTCTCCTCAACTCTAGGTGACGTGTCAGCCATGTACCAAAATTTCTCTAAAGAAGAGCTCAAGCAGCTAGTTCGAGCCTTGAACGAGAGCGGTGAATTGGAGCAGCTGCTGCACGAAGCATCCGCTTCCACTTCGACCGACACAGCGCAAGGATCGATGAATGACAGCTCAAAACGCAGATTGACGAGTTCTGTGGTGTCTGCGAAGGAAGAGCTGGATCAGTTTGAGGTGATTGCTTTGACTCAAAGTGTGACTCCGACCCCAAAGAAGATGAGTCAAGCACCGGTGCTTCCACGTCAGGTCGGCTACTCTTCTCATGCTGGAACAGAGATCCGCCTGCCTGAAGGTCTTCAGTCACTGAAGCAGTGGGGCTCCACCATTTGTGAGCTACCAAACGTAGCCAAACGTGACATGACATACGATATGATGGTCACAGAAGCTGACTCGTGTAAAGAAATGAGGGATTACTTGACATGGGTCACCAACAGCGGAGTCAAATCCTCGAAGATGGATGACATCCGTGCATATTTGAAGGCAGTCCAGTATAGCCCCGGAATTTCCAAGTTCGGAGTGACGTATCCAGGCTCGAAGGAAGCCCGTCGCTTTGGCCATGAAGGCCATTGAAAACTTGGATCATATATAGATTTTGAGGAGTGTGAATTGTGATGAGCACATGGTCGGACGCCATGTCTAGCGGAACCTTTAGGCTGGAGCGTAGAAAGGCGCCGCTGCGATGCCCCTGGTGGGGCGACCGCACCGACATATATATACATAGTCAGGAGTGTCCATAAACCACCAGAACTCCGTGGTGCAGTAACTACCAGGACCTTCCAAGTCCGGTGGTGGTTTTTGGGCACCCCGGTCATCACCTCTAACAACGAGGCTAGCCTTATAAACACCTCAAACGGTGTCGGTCCTGGTCGAGAATTCACGTGGATTGGGGGGTTGTTGAGGGCAGGAGAGAGAAGAGATTG